TGAATGGTGGTTTCCACAGCAACCTGGGGAGGGCGCAGACCTGGGGAGGCATTTTTAAAGCAGTCCCTGTCAAACTGTACTGTGCAGGTGAGTAACTTGGGTATCTTGTTACAATGCAGATTCTGATCCATAGGACCGGGATGGTGTCTGAGAGTCTTCATTTCTTATAAGCTCCCTGTGGTGCTGGTGCTGGGAGGCACCAATTTGTGAGCAATGCGAGTGTGAAGGACGATTCAAGAGTGGGCAGAGGAATCTTGCTGCATGTTAAACCCATCCAGGCCCGGAGACTGGCTCTCTTCTTGCTCCAGTTTCAGACTTGAGAATGAGGGCGAGAAAGGGTATTAAAACTGCAGAAGAAGCAGGGCAAGATTAGGCAGAGCTAGATTCAGAGCTCCTCATTGCTATCAAACAGTGTGACTCTGGTGGGTTGCAGACCACCCCTGAGTCTCACTTCCTTCTCTATGAAGTGGACTTTCCCTCCCCACAGGATTTTTTTTGTTGTTGTTTTTTTTCCCCATACCGGGAATCGAACTCACAACCTTGTGCTTGCCAGGCAGGTGCTGTGCCGCTGAGCTAAATCCCCAGCCCCTCCCCACAGGATTTTGAAGCCTAAGAGAGAAAGCACACTGCTCCACAAACTTTGGATCTGTCTCAAGCCTAAAACCAAACATCCTTCTTTATGAAACAACCTAGCTATTGATCCCAAACCACTGTTTCTCAAATTATGAAAATTACAGATTAGTTTCAAAAATATTAAGATATCTTTAAAAATGTAGAAAAGAAAAGAAAAACACTCTGCCCAGTGATAACATAGTTAACATTTTGATATATTTCCTACCAGGCCTTTATATTTATTTTATTTTAAAACAAATATGGGATTTGTAGTTAGTATATTGTTTTGTCATCTTCTTTTTAATTTAATAATTAAATTATCAGCAGGTTTCATGTCTCCATGTAAAGACCAATCATTATTTTATTAAATGATTGTACATTTAAAATAGGCCTCCTAAGACTTGAGACAAAGCCCACCTCCAAGACTTAGTTCACCTTACAGGAAGAAATGTATCTGACTGGGGAGCTGCTTACACCTTCTAGTACTTTCTTTTTGGTTTTCTTGGGAGCCTGAGTCTCCAAAAACCACCTATAGAATGGAGAAGGCCAAAAGTCAGCACTGTGTGATGTCAGGAAGCCCCAAAGGAATCACAAGCCAGGCTGGGAGCTTGCTCTGGGGACAGTTCCAAACAAAATTCTGGTCCAAGGGTAACAGTGACCAGAGAACATCCTAGGAATCTACAGTCATGGATCCGTAGATTGGGTCATGGAATGAAAAGTGCTGAATGGAAAAAAAAATTCAAGTAGGCAGAACTCAATGAAGTCAACTATGCCTTCCTTTTCCAACAGGAATTCCAAAATTCTTTACAGAATCTCCTTAGGAGTGGTTCTGCAAGATTCTCTAATGCCTGAAGCTGTTGTGGGGAAGAAGGCACTCATTTATTCATCTGTTCATCTAGACCCCGCCCCCATCTTAAATGTGTACCGGAGGCCCCGTACATTAAAGGCGTGGTTTCCAGGGTGGTGCTCTTGGTGGTAATGACCATATCATCCCTTCCTATTTCTCTTTGCTTCCTGGCCATAAAGTGAGAGTTCATTTCACCATGCACTCCTTACCATGATGTTCTGCCTTGCCACAGGCCCAAAGCAGCAGACCAGTTGATGACACATTCTCCAAAACTATAAGGAATAAACCTTTAGTATTATAAGTTGAATATCTCACTATAGTAATGGAAAATTGGCTGAATAAACTAACATAATCAGCAAATATTTATAGAACTCCTACTACATAACCAAAACTTTTCTGGGTTACCAGCGCATTCTGGTGACTGAGATGGACAAGATCCCTGCTCTTATAACTTGTATATTTTAGTTGGGCAGACAGATAAGCTTATCCAAAAACATGATCACTTTGCAGAAGTGCAAAGAAGAGAGTGAAACAGAGAATACTGTGGAAAGTGATTGGGGCTGTGTACACAGGGCAACCAGGCAGGCTTCTCTGAAGAGGAGCATTTCAGCTGAGCAACAAAGGATTTGCAGTTTGCTTATGACCCTTGGAGCTACATCTTTGGATACTCTTCCTTGCAGGAGCAAGGTCTTCAAGTATTACCAGGGTCACTCTATTATCTAGACCCTCAATCTTCCTTCCTCTTGACAAGCATCCCAGTTCTTTCAGCTGGTGCTCATATGACCCACTTTAGCTCCTCTCAGAGTCCTCAATCAGTTTTGAATTATACATCACATTTATATCTGGTGTCCAGAATGAAATACTGTGTACGACCAAGACAAAGGACTATTATGCCCCTTGTCCTGGATGCTGCAGTTTTATTCAGCCAAAGTAGCAAAAACCTTTATTTTTAGTTGACTACATCATCTTGTATCCTTAATTGAGCTTGCAGTCAAATAAATCACCTAAGTCCTTCACACATCTTGTAACCTGTGCCATGGCATTTTGGAAAGTAAGTGCAGAGGCTTACATTTATTTATATTCATTTAATCTTGCGAATTTTGGCCTGATTCCTCAAGCCGGTCTGGATCATTTTGTTTTCTGGGTCTGTTGCTTTTTCCTTCAGACTTTACCAAGGAGGCCAACGGGGTCTCCTAGGGAAGAGAGGACCGCAGCGTGGACTAAGGCGGCAGGAATTGAAACACAAAGCGGAGGATGGATTCAGGGAGTATTCAGAGGCCGAGCTGGTGGGTTGGAGGCAGTAGAGAAAAGAGAGGAGCTAAGCCTACTATCTGGTTAGGGGCCTGAGCAGTGGAACTGACACAATTCCACTCAAAGACACAGGGCGACGACTCAGGCAAAAACACATTTGTTAAGAAAAAGAATTTCACACAGTGGCCTTATAGCAATTATTATTTTCTTCTTCCTAATCTCTGTCTACGCCAGTATTAACACTAATATCTAGAGGAAAGAAGGAGGCCGGAAAGGGGAGTTCTGCATATTACATTCAGAACCAGACGCGGCAGAGGAGGCAGGCGCAGAAGCGGGTATGTGGCCCAGGGAAGGCATTTTCTTTGTGAACCAGACTATAGAAACCATTTCTGTATTCCTTGCAAACGCCAAGCCTCAGAGGTGACCCTGTTGAGCTACGCACATTTCTGATGGGAATAGAAATGAAAGATGTTCCCGGTCTCTTTCAGCTTTTATCAAATACAAGAACCAGAGGGCACGATCCAAGCCCGGGAAGGACGCAGCCCCGGGGAATCGTGGGTGAGAGTATTAACCAGGAGCAGTTAATCTTTGGAATATACTTGTAGAAGGGAGCAGTAAAATAACGTGAATGCTTCTGAAACAGATTTTATATTTAGAACCCAGAAAGCTGGGATGTAAGCATCATTTCCATTGCCAAGGCTGTAGCTTTTGCTTTGTTACAGGACCCTGGCCAAGAGATTTCCTGTGTAATCACAGAATCCTGGTGGATTAAAGGGACGGTGTTCAGACATTCATTTTGTGCAGGGGTTTTAGCTGGGGGTGCACAATGGAGTCAGTTGGGGAAGTTTCTTTCCGTTTATTTATTCCAGGGTTTACTGCTTTAGATTTTGTAGGGCACAGTATTTTGGAAAAGGTTCTCACATCATTTGATTCATATTAGGCACCAAGGATCTCTGATCCAGTGTAATCGCCTCATTATAGAGAGGGGAAACCAAGATTAGGAGATTAAGTGGTTTGTTCACCAACTCAGAGAAGTACAATGACCCTGGGAGTCAGCTTCCTCAGTGGAGAAAACGCAAAAAACGAGACCATTTGATCTCTTTTTGTCATATTTCAGAGACTTAACATCACACAACTGTGAACTAGGTTTAGTAATATGAGTAGCTCTTAAAACATAGAATGGAGTGAAAAGGAAATACAGCGAGATTCATATACATTCATTTATAGCTATTAAAAATAACAGTCATGTATTTTACAAGCCATAGATACTTAGTAAGGATCTACATCAAACACTTTCGACAGAATGCTTGTTAGAGGGGAAGGAATGGGAGAAGATTCTAGGATGCAGAACTTGGTTGACCATAAGAGTTTGCTAGGAACTGTGGTATGAAAATTTTCAGACGTCTTCCCTCAAAGTGTCTTAAAAATAAAAGTATAATCAACAGATGATGGATCAAGAAGATGTGGCCCATGCATATCATGGAAGATTATTGTACCACAGAATGGAATGAAACTGATTTATGCTACTGCACAATAAACCTTGAAGACAATATTCTAAGTGAAAAGGACCACACACAAAGGAGCAAATGCTGTGTGACCCCACTTATACAACATAGAGCCATCCTCTCATCTGCAAGGACACTTTCCAACCTCCTCAGTTAATTCTGAACCTTATGTCTACAATATTTTTTCTGTACACACATACATACCTTTGATGGAGTTAATACATTTAGCATAGGATGAGATTACTAATAATATCTAATAATAAAATAGAATAATATTGATAATAAATGGTAACAAAAATTATGTGAATGTAGTCTCTCAAGATATTGTAATACCTTATTGTACTTATAGACTTGGGGCTACAATATATATTTTTTAATTTTAAAGAGAATTTAAAAAAATATCAAAATAGCAACAACATAGGGTGAATTCATAGAGACAAAGTAGATTAGAGGTTTCCAAGAGCTTGCTTGAGGTAAGGTGAGGCGTTACTCCTAATTGGTTACAGATTTTCTATTTGGAGTGATCGTAAAGTTTTGGAAGTAGATATTGGTGGTGTCTACACAACACTCTGAATGAAATCAATGCTACTAAACTGTATGCCTAAGATGGTTAAAATAACAAAATTTACTATATGTCTATTTCCACTTTTAAAATAATTGATAATATTACATACCAAACCTATTAAATTTTATGATTTTAATGAGTGAAATTAGCTGATCTATGAACTGAATCCCAATAAAGCTGTTGAAAATGTGGCAAACATGAGTTTTCCTTTGCCTTTAAGTTGGAAGAATGGAAGAACTGAAGAGCAAGAGAAAGAACTTTCGCTCAGGTGGGGACTGCGACAGGGACAGCCACTGCATTCTCTTCTCTAAAGGACTATGAAGGTTGAGAGTAAGACTCTGTGTTGGACATTTTAGGCACCTTGACATTTTCCTGGCAGTGCGACACTTTGATGAGGTGTAGGGACTGGGAATTTGTTATATAAATAGAAGTTGTTGTTAGATACTTTAATTTGGTGTCTACTTGACACAAGACATTGTTGTCCATGTTCTTTGAATAAAAATGCAAACAGATTTGTCTGCCTTTTATTTTAGCGTTTGGCAGATAATGACTTTTGCAGGAGGGGAGTGCATGGCATCTATAAGCTTTTATGCAACAAGTGTATTTGAAAAATACAAGTAGTATGAACAGATACTTGAAGAGCTATCCATTAATTATGCTGGAAACTTTGGAAGTTCCTCAAATTTCTTTTAGCCACTTCCAGCTGTCAGTCTTAAAAGAAAGTTGAGAAGTAGGTTAAATACTATTAATCTCTCCGACCTCCAGTCTCTGGAGAACGGGAAAAAGAACAGATGATAACTTTTTTTTAATTGGCAGGAAAAGTTTAAGTGAGTTTCGTTTAGCCCTGAAAATACATTTTGATTTGTATAGGTCGTTTCCTACTTCATTTACACTCTCTCCAACCAATTTTAATTATATCCATATATCTCACAGAGGCCTGTCTTCGGGTGTTGTGGAACTATCATTCCCACCAAATGTGTGGGTGAGAACTGCCATTCCTACTGATTGACAAAAGAAAGAGCCTTTGTCCTGCAGCTTTGCCCGGTGATAAGCGAGTGGCCCAGTTACTACCAGTCATTTGCATGCACAGTGAACCATTTCATTAAGAATTTCATTAAGATGATAATGTTTAATGTTTCCCGGGAAAAAATGAGTTTTTGCCTTGTTCAGTTATATAATTAAAGCCAGAGAATGAAGGGAGATTGCAAAGTGCTTGCATAATGTGGCAAGTATAATGATCAAACTCGTAAATAAGTTCAAGAGGCAAGTTCTGTATGGATCCTGATGGTGAATCGCATAAGGATGTTGGGTGCATGGAACATATGGGCTGAAAAGTTCCCTAGAGTTCCACTCTGGGATTACTAGCTGAGCTCCTTGCTCTTTAGGACAAGATGGTAGAACAAGATGGATGGGAGAACAGAATGCGGGCCGTAGACTGGCTGGTCAGACTCTAGAGTTTCTGGAACACAAGATACCTCTTTACTTTTTCTGTAGGCAGTAGATTTCTACATAGGAATGAAAATACAGTGGCACAGGCTTATTAGATATCTTAACTGTGGCTATGGTACTGTATTTTTCTTTCCTTGCCTGTGAGATGACATGGTACTTTTCTTCTTCCTACATTTTATGACTAAGGTATGAAAAGGAAGCCCTGCCATTTAAAAAGTATTAAGAATGCTGTTTCTGCCCTTTTCTCCAATTCTTTTCTTTAAGGAAGGAAGAGTACTTTAGTAATTTATGAGGTGGAGCTAACTTTCCTGAAGGATTGAGCATGTGCAAAATTTAATATGACAGTCACACATAGGATTTATATGTGAATATTGAACTTTCCTGTTCCTTAAAGATATTTCCTAAACCACTATGTCCACAGTGTTTCCAGCGTGTGGTTCTTCCGATGATGTAAAAATTCCTTTCACTTTGTTATGTAGAGCAGTTAGGTCTGGTCCAGCTCCCACCTCCTAACTTTGTTCAAGTTTTCTTTGCATAACCGAAGACCTAGAGTCTGTCTCCTTCTTTCCCCAACACCCTCGGCCTGGGGACTAAACCCAGAGTCTTGCCACCCAGGTACATCCCTGTTTCTTCTGTTTTCCTTTTTATTATTTTGAGACAGTGTCTTGCTAAGTTACTAAATTGCCCAGGCTGGGTTCAAACTTTGTGCTGGGATTATAGGCACCACTGCACCTGGCTAGGCTGAGTTCTTTGGCTATTGCAAAATATCTGGGACTGGCTACTCTCTAATGAGCGTACTTTTATTTCTCATAGTTATGGGAGCTAGGAGGCTGAGATCAAAGCACAGCAGTGTATTTGTTGTCTGTTGAGTGGTGGTCTCCACTTCCAAGATGAAGCTTATTGCTGTACCCTCCAGAATGGGAGAACATGTCCTCAAGTGGCAGAAGGACAGAAAGGCAAAAGGGACGAGGCACAATCCCTCAAGACCTTTTCAGAGGGTGGCTGTCCCATCCATGGGGCCATAGCTTCCCTGGCTATTATGGTTTATGTCTGTGTGTCCCCTCCAAAGCCTCATGTGACCATGGGGCAGGCTTTTAGAGTTTGATTATTATGGATATGAGAGCTACACCCGCCCTGGGGTGGATAGTTTGCATATGTAAGGGACAGGAAAAGGGTGCTTGAGGCCATGCCTCCCCCATTCCACCCTGGTGTGTGGTTGTTGCTTAGCTGTGTGCTGCCGCCCTGAGATGCAGCCCTCTGCCACGTGCCACTCTGCCTTATAATCTGCCAAGTACGGATTGAAACTTCCAGGAACTGTAAGCGAAATAAACCTTTCCTTCCTTAATTTTGGGTGTCAGGTATTTTGTCCCAGCAGCGAGAAAAAAGTAACCAAGACACTGGCCTAACACCTCTTAAACACTGCACATCTTACTGCCATTACTAGCAGCACCATGAATTTCAGAGGGGACACAAACATGAAACCATGGCCCCCGGGAACTCCGCTCTTTCTTCCTCATGGTCCCTGCAAGTCCTGTGTCAAGGAGGTGGGCTGGTGTGGTCTGTGTGATGTCTTCGCAAAGGTTATTGCTGTGACTAGGATGTAAAGAAACCCAACACACACGGAGAAGGGCCCCAGAGAAATGTTTTCTATGCTCATCACTAATTTTCTGCTCACTTTCAAAAGTCATATATTTGTAATTTATTCATTTTTTTTTAAAAAAAATAGGTGTTTTCATGAGTTCCAGGACCTTAGTAATAAAAAGAACATATACTGATCTGACTTTATGCATCTTTAGACTTTATTTAGACATTTTGGTACCTGGGACATGTGGTGTGAGCCCGAATGAACAGATCTCTCCAGTCCAGCTTAATGATTCAGTCAGATCATTATTTAAGCCCTGGCTGTCCATGCCTTATCTGCAAACGAGGAGACAATAGCTCCCAGCTCCTAAGACTCAAGAGGGTAAAATGAGATCATGTATGTAAAGCACACAGCAGTGATTTACATTCCAACAAACTAGTTCTTAGGATTACACACTAAACAAAGAGACAAGTATGTCTTTCCTCACTGTGCCATTTCCACATCCCTCCTGGTTTCAACCTCCTACATGCACCCGAACAACAAGGGGTTTAAGTGGGAGCAGCTGGCCCCTGGCACCCTTGCCTTCGGTGCAGAGGTGTTCATCTTCAGGATCTTCTTTTTAGCTTGTGGCCTTTGGTGGTGATACAGAAGGTATCACTTAAAGCCTGCCCTTTCTAGTAAGATCTTACCTACTAGAGGTCCAGACATGCACAAAGGTTGTGTAGAGTTTACATATGTCCTGTGGAAAGGGGGATGGTGAGAGACAGCCTAAGACAAGAGGCACAAAAGTGACAATTTTAAAATAGATGAGCACAAGTTGTATGACAGGGGTTGTACCTGCTTTGTTAAAGGGACTGTTCTGGCCCAGTTGCTCACTTCTGGAGACTCATGGGAAGAATTAGTATAGAATAAAAGAACTCTAATCCATATAAAGATTTCATGATATGCTACAGTTGGATATTTTAGTTTTCCCCTCAAACATCCAATCACCTGCTTGATGGGTTAGAGGTGGAATTAAGTTGGTATTTTGATGCTTATGTCACAGGTTGGTACTCAGATACTGATGATATTTTCCTTCTTTTTTTTCATAATACTGAAGCTGCAGTTAACAACTGACTCTAGATGATTACTGGGTCAATGCTAAAGTATTTTAGAGTGACCCCAATAAAGGCTGTGAGCAAATCAAATGGAGGAGTTATTTGATTTAACCAATTAAAAGGAATGATTAACACTTAGACTGAATAGAAAAAAGTTATCAGGAACAGTGTTGCAATCCTGTTCCTAGTCTTTATTGAGGCTAAAAATATCTCTTTGAAACTGTGCCCTGAACACTCTGACACTGGCTTTGCAGCTTTGTGCAATACTGTGTGTTCATGTCCTTTCTAAACTGGGGCTTTGGCTGTTTTAGATTTGATCTGTTTTGTAAAACCTAAAAGAGTGTAAGAAACCAAGCTATTTGTTAACTTGCTGGATTCCCAGGACTTTAAAAAACAACTATGGTGATAAAAGATGCTCAAAGCCTTGCATATTCCTATTCCAATCACAGAATTTATCAAATTATTCACTGTTGGAACCCATGTGACAATGAGCTATGAATCTGCCCTGCATCATTTCTGGCTGGGGAAATGAAAACCTTTAAGAAAAATTCTTATATCTCTAACTGTTTGTGTAGTAACTCAAGTAAAAGATGAGATTATAAGAGGTGAGAGTGATGACAGTGAAAAGATAGAAAAGCAACGAATTTGAGACAGTGAGGGAAAAAGGGACAGAATTTACTAGAGCTCCGTAATTACACCTTTCCATGTCTGGGTGTTATCAATAGCGTACAGTTTAAAATGAGATTACTGGAGTTGTTAACTTCAACAATGGGCTCATAAATGGGTTTTTACAGAATTCCAAATGTAGAGAGTAGACCGGGTATGCCATTGGATGCCTGTAATCCCAGTACTCTGGGAGGCTGAGGTAGTGGGGTCACAAGTTCAAGTGTAGCCTGGGCAACTTAGTAAAATCCTGGCCCCCCCCAAAAAAAAGAAAAGAAAAGAAAAAGAGAAAACTGAAGATGTAGCTCAGTGCTAGGGCTCTGGGTTCAGTCCTCAATGTCCAAAGAAACAAACAAACCCTAGAGAATATTTCCCTAAAGAGCTGGCACTGATAAAGCAGCCTACATAACAACACATAGGCATGTACAGGTCAGTGTACTGTTTTGCTGTCTGAGGCAACTCACAGAATAGACAGTAGAGAAAGTAGAGAGAGAACCCTTGAAACCAGACTCAGAAGCATAGAATAGTGTATGTGAAGACTGAGCAGAAGAGCACACTCAAACTCAGTCTCAGCGGTGCTCTTCCAACATGCCTGTGACACGAGGTGTCAGGCGGGCAGTGAGGTCACTTCCCACTCAGCAGCAAGCTACACTGCTGCAGTGGACACCAGCTGCTTGGCTCTACGTCCATGAGGTACTGACCTTCTCCACCTGGAGATGAC